TACATTAACACTAAATCTACGGCTAACTAACTTGAAAATGGCGATGGTTAATTGATAATAGTGTAATAAACGTTAATAAATAAATAAATAAAATAAATACATAAATAAAAATACATTTACTTATTTCTGAATAACACTTTCTTAAATTAGTAGTGAAAGAGACTTAGTAAAAACGTTAAACGTTACTCTTTACTTTAAAGATTTATGTAAGAATAAGTGAGAGGCTGACTACAGGCTAAGACATGGCTGACTTGTGGAGAAATGAGGCTGACTACTGGTGAAAAGTGCCATAATTTGTTTAATGTTGATTTTTATATAATTCTAATATAAATATAATGTTTTGTTAATTTCTTTAGTAAATTTAATAAACAACCTTACTGGGGATAGTGATTGTTTTATTTTCATAATGTTTAATATTTAAAATACAGTTGAATCAAATTTTAGACCTCACTAAAAGGCTGACTACTGGGTGTTTTACCCTATGCTGTAGAAATGAAAAGAAATAATTAAAAATTAAAAATTTTATACAGCCGACTTCAATATAAGCGACTTCATTATAAGTTATTTAAGAATAACTCAATAACCATTGGTCTGACCTTGATCAAATTCATATGAGACCACACGAGAACTATCAGCTTTCATATAAAAAAAGAATCATCGAAATCGGTTCACCCAGTACAAAGTTATGAGGTAACACACATAAAAAAACATACAGTCGAATTGAGTACCGTCTCCTTTTTGGAAGTCGGCAGAAAAATGAATAGTTTTTCGTTTTAATCGTATAACTCCTTTATACTTATTTTTCTCTGTTCAGTTATTATAAATCGATTTGTTCCCGAATATTAAAAACTGACTGAACTGAACTCTTAATTTGAATAATGCATAAAAATGTATGAGTTACTTTAAAACTTCTGCCTTTAGAATATAAAAAGAAATATTTTTTTTTTTAATTTAATATGCTTAGATAAAATTGTACTTATTTAATTGTTCTCGTGTGGTGCCATATGAATTTGATCAAGGTCAGACTAATGGTTATTGAGTTATTCTTAAATAACTTATATTGAAGTCGGCTGTACAAAATTTTACGAGGGTGGATTGAAAAGTACTCGGCCTAACCAAGAAAATAAACAAATACTAAATCAGTTATATTTTTATTTTTCTACATAATCACCATCAAGTTCAATACACTTTTGCCACCTCCCCTTCCAAGCATTTAGACCGTTGAAAAAAAATGATTCTTCCTTAGAGTCAAAATATGCGTCTACAGCTGCTTTGACCTCGTCGTTTGTCGAAAATCTTTGACCTCCCAAGTGCTTTTTTAGGTTAGGGAACAGAAAGAAGTCTGATGGTGCCAGATCAGGTGAATATGGCGGATGCGGTAACAGTTCAAAGCCACAGTTGTGAATTTCAGCCATTGACTGTACTGACGTGTGAACACGGGCGTTATCTTGATGAAACAGGACTTTTCTTCTGAGCATTCCTCGACGTTTTTCTTTTATTTCCTCTCGTAAACGACGTAGTAAGGTGCAGTAGTAATCAGAGTTTATATTCTGACCCCTTTCAAGATAATCAATCATAATCACACCTTTCGAGTCCCAGAATACTGAAACCATCACCTTATTTGCCGACAAAATCGACTTAGCCTTTTTAGGGGGTGGTGAACCAGGTCTTCTCCACTGTTTTGATTGTTGTTTTGTTTCCGGTGTACAGTAATGAACCCATGTTTCGTCCATAGTAACAAAACGATTCAAAAAATCATCTGCATCGGCTTCAAATAACTCCAAACAGTCGCGTGAAATAGTCAATCGCGTCCTTTTTTGTTCAACTGAAAGCAGTCGCGGAACCCACCTCGCAGACACCTTGTGGAAACCCAACTCGTTGACAATGATGTTTTGAGTTCGATCATAAGAGATGCCTATAATCTCGGCTATCTCTCTAATTTTTAATCTGCGGTCTCCCATTATTAAATCAAGTACTTTTTTAATATTTTCGTCAGTAGTTGACGTCGAAGGCCTTCCAGAGCGGGGTTCATCGTTCACACTCTCTCTACCACGCTTAAATTCTGCTATCCATTTTTGACGGATGAATATGACAGAGCATAATCGCCTAATGTACTGACCATGTCATCATGGATGGCTTTTGATGATAGCCCCTTCTTATGGAGGTACTTAATGACGGCACGCTGCTCGATTTGCTCCATTCGCGGAAATTATGTCCGATTACTTTGTTAATAAATTTATAAAATCACAACTAATTATCGCACACGTTTCGAACTTCACACAATGAACTAGTCTGAACTGAACTAAATAATGTGGGTAGATTTGATTTTTAGAATTGAATGGATCTGTGTTAGGCCGAGTACTTTTCAATCCACCCTCGTAAATTTTAAATTATTGTATTTAAAGAGACAACTGTCGCCACTTTTTTTTAAAATGCCATCATATTCGACGCGATTAATATATGAATTAGTAGGATGATAAAAGTTTATTAATAATCGAAAGCGTATGTAGAGAATACATTAGAGTTTTTTTTCTGCCGACTTCCAAAAAGGAGACGGTACTCAATTCGACTGTATGTTTTTTTATGTGTGTTACCTGATAACTTTGTACTGGGTGAACCGATTTCGAATATTATTTTTTTATTTGAAAGCTGGTACATCTCGTGTGGTCCCATATGAATTTGATCAAGGTCAGGCCAATAGTTTTTAAGTTATTCTTAATAACTTATATTGAAGTCGGCTGTACAAAATTTTTAATTTTTAATTATTTATTATTATAAGCCACTGGCCACGTGACCAAAATCCTACCTCGTGGTAACTTGTGATGAAGCCCTAAATGGTAAATCGCACCGTCTTATATTACTTGCAGAATAAGAACTCTAAGAGTATTAGTGATCTGTGAGCAAAACCTTAGTAGCTTAGTGGATAAGTGGCCATATAGTACGCGATACTGTAACTGTATTTTATAGTTTATGTAGATATTTTGAAATAAAGCAATACATTTTATGTGTGAGTCAGCTCAGCTACGCACACAAAATTTCACATTATTCTAAAAATACGCTACATTATTATATAGCCATGCCAAAAAAACTAAATAATTTTCGGTACATACTGCTTCCTCAATTAAAGTGAATCATAGAAATAAAACGTTGGAATTTTTTGAAGTACAGATTTATGAATAATATGCAAATATAGCTCGCTGAGCGACCTTGAGCTTCCTCAACCGGCCAGCAGTGAAGGACCACGTCTCAGTTCCATAGGTCTGGCAACACGCACTGGTTGTACAGTCTCGTTTTCAAGTTTTGAGGTATGCCTGACGAGAAGATGTGCCGTAATTTCCCAAACGCTGCCCAACCGAGTTGAAACCGTCGATTGACCTCTCGGTCCAAGTTGGACTTACCTAGTCGGACTATTTGTCCCAGGTAAACATACTTGTCAACAACTTCGAGCTTAGTGCTCCCAACAACTACCGGCATAGGTGTGACATGGACATTAAACATGATCTTTGTTTTGTCCATGTTCATCTTAAGACCTATCCGTTGGGAAACACTATTGAGGTCATTGAGCATAGTGCTTAGGTCCTCCAGCGATTCTGCCATAAGGACTATATCGTCGGTAAATAGAAAAGAGAAACTGCGGTTGCCAACCGCAGTTTTTAGTTTACCCACACTGTGGTGCCAACCACCACAGTGTGGGTATGAATACACCTATGGCAAACTTCCCCCATATAAGGCAACCTGTGGACGAGGCTTATGTTCAAGAGTGGACTTTTATATATACTAATGCGTGCGTCTGTCATAGGTAATAAGAATATTAAATATATGAAGTTACACACGCAGTAATACATAAAGTAACAATTTAGACACGTTCTACAACTTCTTATTTCTGGCTTCTATGTGATGTGCGCTTTTATAGCATTATTTTAACCTTCCTTTTTTAGGCCTTCCCCGGTCGAGCCGACCCAATCGTGCTAAAATATACTGTACTACTGTAGCATGGCTCTACCACGTTTAATTTTAATATTTATATGCCTCTTTACTAGTAAAAAGGGTCTCCAGTTCTCTACACTTACCAAACGAAACACAGCAGCATTAAGCTGCTATTTTACGCTGGTATTCTGTGAGAGCGCGGTCCTTCCCCGGTCGAGCCGACCCAATCGTGCTAAAACTACTTATACAATTAATATAGCTGTAGCATGGCTCTACCACGTATAATTTTTATATTTATATTTAGGTAGAGATCATCGTCGCAAACTTCGATTGTAGAAACCACACACTTAGGAAATTATTTATTTCAGTATTTTCTTTGAGCTCCCGTTTCCACTTTGAAATCCATAGCTGATACTGTTTAACGAGAGAGGCAGCAGCAACACTCAAGAAATGGGAATAACATTCTTATACTTTCTTCACATTAAGAAGATCTTCTTCTGTATATTCAGATTTTGGCATCATAATTACTAATTCGAACAGGTTCATCGTATCCCCAGAAAGTCGGTGCTGTAGGTCGTCATTATGCTGTCAATATAACCGGAATGATTTCGCCATCAAATACTGACTTTGTCCATAGTCTAAGTTAGCTATGTTCTTACTTAAATGGTTTAAACTCTAACTACTAACAATGGTATTGATTTTTTTTGACATAAACAATGTCTATATCATTAATTAACGTACCTATATAAATTAAAACAAAACATATTTTAATATAAAAAAATTATATTGAAGTTAGAAGAAAACATAATTTAGGTTGACAAGATGCAACCCTAGGTCAAAGATATACACATTTTTATCAATTTTCATGCTAGAAATGTTTTATACATATTTTTTTGTTTAATAATTTCTCCGTGTATTAAACACTTGATAAATCGCAACAACTAAATGCGGTTATGATTGTAAGTTCCTCCTCCCCGCTCAGACGTGATATAAAAAGGTCAGTGCCAGCAAACGGCTATCGACTAGTTAACAGTGAGAGATCGCAGAGGTTCATACGTGTCAAGAGATAAAATATGAAATACTTTACCTTGTTTGTTTTCGGTGAGTATACCTATCTTTTTATTAAATATTGTAAGTACTACAAGAATATGCGACAATTTTATTCACTAGATGCAATGCAATTTATAATTGGTCTCCATTAAACCTATCTAATTGTGCTTACCTCTTTATTAGTTCTATTACTAGTTGCACTTTTTGTCTAAGTTTTTACACAGAGCATTGATTTTTTTGTAAAGAAGTCTTTCAAGGTCCTCAAATTCGTATACGGCGTTGTAAAAATTTTAATGTGTGATTTAAATTATTTTTATAAAGGCGTGAATATATATTTATTTCTAAGCTAATTGTCTAGTTAGATTTCATTCTTCGATAAATATTGTAAATAGAATTGTTATAAATATCCCTAAATAAAATATCGGGTAATAATATTGACATATTATGTAAAATGATAACAGTTGAAACTGATTTAAAGAACTGTGTTGTATTCATTATATTATTACAACGAATGCAGCGTCTCAGGTACAAGATCGCAAGTAATAAGAATATTAAACGAAAAACAAAACAGTGACCAAACTTTAATTTTACTAAGCCTGTATTTTTAATGAATTAACATTAAATAGTGTGAATAATATGAATATAGGACACACTAAATCCGCATTATCAAAATACGGAATTGCTTAAAATTTCCATCACTCGTTGATGCATATTTAGAAAATCTTTGTAATTATAACTTATAATTATAACTGAACTGAGTAAGTGGCGCAAATATGAGTCTGAGAGATGACTACATATTTGTGCCATTTGCTGTAGAGACTATCGATCCGTGGGGTCCACGTGCGGTGGAGTTCCTAAAGTAGCTCCATCCGCGGCTGGTCGTTGCTGCTGGTGAGAAGAGGGCTGGTTCTTTCCTCGCTCAAAGGCTAAGTATAGCCATTCAGCGGTGAAACGCAGCCAGCGTTCTTGGCACGATACCGCGGGGAGTAGGACTATACTCGTATTGTATTTAAGTTTCTAGTTTTAGTTTTTTTTTTAATTATTATTATAGTTTTTAATATTGTAGATAAAAATTATAACTTTCGTACAAAATAGTTTCAAGCTATTAATTTATTTTTATTATAACGTTAATTGTTTGTATAACTGTTTAAAGCTAGATTATTAAAGGTAGACTATTAAATTCACACGATTGGTTTTAAGTTCCTCATTTCTAAGTGTTATTTGCCCGGTTTTGCATCTAGATTGAATCTTTGTTCGAGTTCCTTTTAAATTATATGATTTCATCATCATCATCGTCATTATCATCTTTAGGCCTTAGGCCTCCCACTTAGATTGCCTCATAAGAGAAATACTTACCACACGTTGGCAATGGCAACTTTTTATTGTTCTAATTTGCTATCATAAAGATGCTGCTGCCCATCTCCTGTTTCAGTTTCCCTTTGTCGTCTCTTTCGACACTAAATTATATAATTTACGGGCACTGAAAGTAGTACAGATCATCGCTTCCTGCGATTATGTGAGTAGTAATTTTATGACCTTAATCTTCTTTGTTAAGGTTACAAACGTTTGCTTTGTCCTCGTCTTAACTAGGTTTATTAAATAATAGGTAAGTCGAGATAAATATATTGCCGTTGTGAGTGGATGTGACAAGATTTTTCAATGATTCTTTAGAGAATTTATGGGAAACAAAATTTACGAAGCTTGTATACCAACTATATCACAACTTTAATTACGGTATCAAGTATAAGTACAGGTGTCCTGTAAGAATTCGGTCGAAACTTCGAAAAGATTACAAAACATTTAAATGAAATATTGAGCCGAACATACATACGTGTACGTAGAGTCGTTAGAAGGTTCTCAATTCGACTGTACTTGTATGTACTTGTTTTTGTATGTTACGCTTTACGCTTTTTTGTAGGTATATCTATATTTTTGTAGGTATATCTATAGTTTCGTCAACTGATTTTAGTGATTCTTTTTTTTAAATAGTTTATACTTCAAGGGTGGTCCCATTAAAATTTTGGAGGAAAAAAGAAAATAGGGAATGAGTTTTTAATGTAACTATTTAGGTAACATTCTAGTTGTTATTATTATCTTAAGTTTATGATATTGCTTATTCCACTCAAAAAGTAAAAAATTAAGCTTTTAATAAAAAGTAAAGCCGACTTCAAGAAACTAACAAGAATAAAATAATTTCCACTGAACAGCTTCTTACAAATGTAAATAGACTTCTGAAGTCGGGGATTAATTCTTCTATACACTATGTCCTAGCACCGACTCATGAAGCTTCTAGGTGTTGAGTAGTACTATTATTTATTCTGTGGTTGAGACTTGAGACGGACAAGCGCTTACAAGATTTTTAAGTCTTAAAATATATGAAAACTTTGTATGATATTATCCGATGATCTTTTAGTCGCAAATTAAGTACAAGAAAGGCTTTGTATATTTAATTTCAATCAAAGAAAAAATCATGTCATTTTATAGATAATGATGACATTTATCATTGTCGTTTCAAAACGTATAAGAATCCTTAGTAATAAAAAACTTATTAGTAATGACAATGAAAATTTTGTTTCGTCTGCCGAATCTTCTTTAGATGATGACAAAATTATTTTGGGGTTTCGTTAATCGAAAAAAAAATTCTAATAGCATTCCCAAAACGATGAAATATGGTAATCACATCTCTTCCGATGAAAAAGAAATATATGAGCTTTTCTCTAATTATTTCAGTTCCGTTTTTGTAAATCCAGTGGAGCCTAGTTTATATTCTCACAATGAATTATCCAATCGTAGGAATTGTATCTTAACCCTTTTGCTATCCCGTGCACTACATATAGGTCATTGCTATTGTCTTACTATTGTGTATGAAAACCAGACAGTGAAAGTGTTAAGTTATATATAATCACACAAGAAGAAATACAGCAAAAGATTTCGAAATTAGACCAAGGAAAAGGCTCTGGACCAGATAGTCTTTCTACTTTATTGATTAAAAGTGCGGTAAGGAATTAAGTAATCCCTTGTGTATTTTAATCAATGCTTCTTTTAAGGCAGGTGTTTTTCCATCAGTATAGAAAATAGCTCATATCGTTCGGATTTATAAATCCGGCGACATGTCGAATTGCAAAAATTATCGACCCATTATCAGTGTATGATTCTCTTTATCACCATATTCAACCCTTCCTATCGCTTAGACAACATGGCTTTATTAAGAACAGATTGACGACTTCTAAGTTACTTGAATACAAACACTATCTTTGCAGTGCTTTCGCCAAGATAAAACAGTTTAATAGTATATATACCGATTTATCGAAAGCATTTGATAAAGTAAATCATAATATATTATGTATCAAATTAGCATGTTGCGGAATACATGGGAGTCTGTTGAGATGGACTGAATCATACCTCAACAGGAGGAGTCAGTTAGTTACTATAAAAGGTTTCAAATCCTCACCCGCATCTATGACATCGGGTGTGCCACAAGGACCCCATTTAGGTCCTTTATTTTTTATAACATTTATTAACGATCTTATTGATAAATTAACATGTCCATGCCTGTTGTATGCAGATAATTTGAAGCTCTTTTCTGTTATCGATACATTCAGCAATTCGTTAAATCTTCAGTCGAATTTAGACTCCATTCATAATTGGTATGCATTCATTCATACATGCATCTGAATACAAGAAAAAGCTTTCTCTTATCATTTAGCAATAAAAAACACAGACTTACTGTTGATTACAAAATAAATGGACAGGTACTTGATAGAAAACCCGTAGTTAAGGATCTTGGAATATTGTTTGAATAAAAGCTTACGTTCCGCCGTTCCGTGATCATTACGATCATGTGATATCTAAAAGTACAAAACTTCTTGGTTTTATATTTCGAACTGCCATGATTTAAAAATCCGCGAAGCTTTTTCATTTTGTACTGTTCTCTAGTACGCACTATTTTAGAGTACAACATAAATATTCGGTTTCCATACTACGCTGTCCACATAGATCGTATTGAACGTGTTCAAAAGAAATTTCTATCAATCCTGTGCTATAGGCATGGTTTAAATAGAAGTCTGTCCTCCTTAACATTATGTCACTACAAACTCGGTGTAAATATCAGGATATGACTTATCTTTTCAAAATTTTTCATTCCCAACCCTTCTTTCATTTGTCAAGATTAATACTAAGCCCCATCGTCGCTATTTTTCCTAAACACTTTTGGTTTGCAAGTTTATAGAAATAATACACCCTATTGTAATCCTCTAGTAACAAGGTGTCGCCTCTACAATGACTTAGTGATTAATAATAGTAAAAATATTTAATAACAAATTAAACAATTTCAAAAAATCCGTGTTAGATATAATTTGTAAATAAGGCATTAAAATTAAAATTTAAATATAAAGCCTAATAAAGATTTAATTTTCTAAATTTTCCACAACATAAGTTTATAAGTATATATGTACGTTTATAAGTAAGGTTATAAGTATTTGCGCTGTAAACTCGTTACTGTTACCTAATATCATGTTGTATGCACATATTTTAGAATACCATCGAGATTGTAACTTTGCATTTATTATGTTCAATTGTTCTTGTTTTGATGTTATTCTGTTTTGTGTACCTAAATAAATAAATAAACATGATATTATTTGCCAATTACAGCTGTTCTGGTGGTGGCGGTTTCCTGCCGTCCCGACAAACCAGATATCAAGCAGTTGAAAGCCGAGGCAGCACGTAAAAAGGCTTGTGTTCACGACTGCACCAATGTAAAGTTCGATCCAATTTGCGCTGGCAAAAAGGGGGAGAAGCCCAAGTCGTTCGGCAGCGAGTGCGTAATGAACAACTACAACTGCGAACATAAGGACAGTGAGTAAACTAATATTTATTTAACAGTTTTACACACCGACGCGATAAATTAAATTATATTAATCAGGAATCACCAAAGTTCTGTGATTTGTTAACTACGAGTATGTCGACGATAATTTTGGAGGTGGTGGGGTTGAATGACACGAATTTGGTGTAACAAATGATTAGTAACTATTGATCTTCGCTTCTATATGCATCAATACGGACAGGAAGACTTTGATAGATACTGGTTACTCATTATACTGCCTTTCAATAAGAATTACTTGTAATCTATATTGAATAAAAATTATTCTATTCTATTCTAAAGTATTTTATTTTGGTTTCTTAAATCATGCTTGGTATTGTAGTTCTTTAGGATGGTTAAGTTCAGCAGCAGTGCCGACCGCCATTGGTTATGCGTGATTCCATGTTTGTGAAATATGTGCAAATATCACTATAGAATGTAACGAATTTCATAATGTTACAGTATGGTAATGCATAGAAAATAATTCTATTGTTTATTATAATGTCACGTGTGTAGGAAGCATTAGCATTAGTGATACTATATTTCAATTTTTAATTTAATAGGTACTTTTCCTCTATTCAGAATGTTTCTATCCGAAGGACAGTTAAATTGGAAGTTACAGCCTGTAAAATATTTCCTTTATTGCTAAGCAGAGTCCTGTTCTTATTTCTGAAAGGTTTCTGAAACACATGCTTTGCCGCGCCGCCCCACATATTTTCACTTTTGCGGACTTACCCCACGTAACTTCACTCTTGGCGGACTTTTAAATGTCTTCGAAATATACTTTATTTCTCAGACGTGCAGGTTACCTTCACCGGTAAGCTTACTTACCTCCACACTTAAAACTATAATTATTAATTTCAATTATTGGTTTCTACATTAATGAGTCTAGTTTCTGTGATGTTAATGCTTTTAGCCTATGCGGCTCTTACAGCTTCATCGGACTCAGGAAAAAAGGCAGTATCAATACATTATGTATTAACAGTAATGAACTGATGTACGATTGATTTAATGAACTGGTGTATGTCTAAGGAAAAAAAAATAAACACAGCGGATAATACTTGAAATGCCGAGGTAAATAAGACGAACAAGTGTGCCTTGTGGATGTGGTTAACAAAATACCTTAAATAGTATACTACTTTTATGCATGCGTGTATTATTACAATCTTAGCCTATATATAAATAAAATTGACAGAAGTAATGGTGTTATAAAATGAATGTACAGTAAATAAAATAATAAACAACTAAAGATAAGGAATGTTTGTGCTTAGTGAATTTGTATCTTCCCTGCTTTGAAAGAGGTACGAGTACTTGTATGTAAATATTATACTGTTTAAGGGTTGATATATTAAAAGTAAGAAAGAAAGTTTTTATGACTTTGGCATTATTATCCAGTCGAAATATAGTAATCTAGTTGTTGTATCATATCCAAATTTTGTCGCTATCATGCAAAATGCCAATTTTTTTGCCATATCAATTTAAAATCACAATGAATGGTCGTATTTGTATTGATGGTCGCGAGAGCATGACTGATGACGTAAACGTGGATTCGAGAGCTTCATTGTTCATGCGTCGCTTCGACCGGATTCTGAGTCATGACGGCTTGATTCAAACAACACTATTATTAAAACTCGTTTTCATTGCAGGTTACAATAAGGATAATGCATGCTTCCTACTCTTATGTTGAACTATCATATATACAACATTTATATTTTATATTACCTGTTTCAGCTAGTTAGACAATTTGAGAATAGAATAGAATAGAATGATTTTTATTCAGTGTAGATGATTACATAATACTTATTTGAAAGTCATTTTTTTATTTTTAAGATAAAAATGTACTTGGATTAAAATGCGTTGTTAATACGGCAAATTGTACAGAAGTCCGAGGAGTACAATTTGCCACTATGTCTGGCGTATGTGGACTATGAGAAAGCCTTTGATTCCGTCGAAATTTGGGCGGTGCTGCAGTCCCTTCAGCGATGCCAAGTTGACTGTCGGTATATCGAAGTGTTGAAGTGCTTGTACAGTAGGGCTACGATGGCTATCCGAGTACAGAACCAGAGTACGAAACCTATCCAATTGCAGAGAGGTGTAAGACAGGGTGACGTCATATCCCCGAAACTCTTTACCGCTGCATTGGAAGATGTTTTCAAGCTTCTGGACTGGAAAGGATACGGTATCAACATCAATGGCGAGTACATCACTCACCTTCGATTTGCCGACGATATAGTCCTTATGGCAGAATCGCTGGAGGACCTAAGCACTATGCTCAATGACCTCAATAGTGTTTCCCAACGGATAGGTCTTAAGATGAACATGGACAAAACAAAGATCATGTTTAATGTCCATGTCACACCTATGCCGGTAGTTGTTGGGAACACTAAGCTCGAAGTTGTTGACGAGTATGTTTACCTGGGAAAAATAGTCCGACTAGGTAAGTCCAACTTCGACCGAGAGGTCAATCGACGGATTCAACTCGGTTGGGCAGCGTTCGGGAAATTACGGCACATCTTCTCGTCAGGTATACCTCAAAACTTGAAAACGAGACTGTACACCCAGTGCGTGTTGCCAGTGATGACATACGGAACTGAGACGTGGTCCTTCACTGCTGGCCGGATGAGGAAGCTCAAGGTCGCTCAGCGAGCTATGGAGAGGGCTATGCTCGGAGTTTCTCTGCGTGATAAACTCAGAAATGAGGATATCCGCAGTAGAACTAGAGTGACCGACATAGCCCAACGGATTAGTAAGCTGAAGTGGCAATGGGCCGGCCATATAGCTCGAAGAACCGACAACCGATGGGGAAGAAAGGTTCTCGAGTGGCAGCCTCGTACCGGCAGGCGAAGTGTAGGGCGTCCCCCCACTAGATGGAGTGACGACCTGGTAAGATATGCAGGAAGTCGATGGATGCAGGTGGCTCAGGACCGTGCTTTGTGGCATTCTTTGGGGGAGGCCTATGTTCAGCAGTGGACTTGTGAAGGGCTGTAATGATGATGATGATGATGATGAATGATGTTAATACGGTTAGGTAATATCTTACCTACATACCTCTGCTGTAGGAAGAGTAGCTTTTAACCATTCAAACGTGTTGTTTAAGATTGTTTAGACACTGACTAAAAATTATAAGCCTAGCTCGAGAGTCAGCGACTTTTTGCTTAAGTAGTTTATTACTAGATTTATTAATAATAAATTATTATTGTATTCTCATTTAGTTAGGATTCATAAATACATAAAAAAATCGCAGTGACACTACTACTGCTAGTAGAAAGCGTGATAAAATCCTAATAATAATTGTATCGTTCATGCACTAATTAGATAGATTGTCTCCAAATTACTGTACAAGAGTATAGTTGCCATAGTTGGCTTGCTTGGTAAGCAGGTTGACAACCGCATATTTTTATTATTGAGTTGATATCTTATGACACCTACGCTATGAAATGGTATGGTGTGATCGCAGAGCTGGAAGAATTTCAAATTATTGCAATTCATACAAATGTGAACTTTAATAACTTTGGAATAACCTTGGTGTTTGAATGACAAATACTGTTCAAAAGGTCCTAGAACTATCTTAGTTGCAATAGAAATGAATCTTTTTATGATGGGAATTTAAAAATGAAAATCAATAAAAAAATTCTTGCTCCGCGATTGGGTTTGTTGCTACTACACGGCAATATAATAATAACCATAATATTATATATAAAACTGCCTCGTGGATCTAGTTGCTGTAAAAGCGACTGCTGATCATGAGGTTCCGGGTTCGAAGCTCGGGTGGGATCAAAAAAATAATGTATTAAGTTTTTCAGTCAAGAATTTCTCAATAGCAGCTTGAAGTCAGAAATTTGGCGTTGTTTCACCCCAGTGCCTCTAAAAGCACGAAAAGTCGTTGGTCCTGCGCCTGATCTCTCTCGTGTCAGATTGCCGTCCCATCGGACTATGAGAGCGAGGGAATATAGTGCACTTATACAGCTTGTACTTGCGCATACACTCGGGCAATATATTTCTGTTCTGTGCAGACGGCTAGTCTCCGTGACCGAAATTCGGATGACATTATTTTGTGATTATTCACGCTGAGGGTGTTATATGGTGATAATAGCTTTATTAACGTGGGATTAATAAAAATACTACATTATTATTTTTATTAAAATAAATGATTTTTATAATACTAATTTTCCTTCTTTTTCAGCCTTGCAGAAGATCAGCAATGGTGAATGCCAAGGGTCAGAAGGAATCCGTCTTTCTTAAATAAATCTAATAAGAGGTTTTGTAATAAATATAAAATCTAATTTATATTTTGCTCTAAAAATGTGTGTAATGCTTATAAAGAATATTAAGAGCTTTTATATTTTCAAAGTAACTGTGATGTAACATAAGTAATATCTGAAAATATAAATATTGTATTATTTTTATGAGTCACGAGCATTTTATATGTGAATTGTTGAAATCTATTATTTATACTCGATTGAGACGCTTGTGTAACACAACTGTTTTATTAGTTCTATTACACATTATGTTCTAATTTTTCTAAACAGTTACACCGAAAAATAAATTAAGAAATAGTTTTAAAATTACGTTTTTTTACGATTATTTATATATACATATACATATATATATATATATATATATATATATATATATATATATATATATATATATATATATATATATATATATATATATATATATATATATATATATATAATAACAAATGGCTGCTGAAATTTTTTATTTTAACATAACGGAAATACCACTGACTCACTCACTCATCACAAGATCTCCAAAGCAATACGCCCGATTGACTTGAAATTTTTGACATATTTACTCCTTTCGCGACGTAGAGTTAAGAGTAGAGAGACGAGGGTTACGAAGAAAGGATTTTTCAACCCTTGTGGGTGTGAAATAGGAAGTTACAGCTTGTATTGTTAGTGGGATTCTTTGCTCATTTAAGTTTGAGTGATGACCGGTTTAGGTTTCCGTTCCAATACTCTGCAGTCTGTCTGTCCGCCTGTGGGCTGTTTGTCCGACAGTTTGTCCGGTTGTTCGTCTGTCCGTCGTTGTGTTACGGATTACGGATCGCTAGATTGTAGACGAAATGACCAACAGACCACAAATTTGGATATTTGGTGTAGATTTTTTAATAGGATATGAGTGACAAACGAGCACACAGTCCACTTAATGGTAAGTGGATCAAGAGAAGACATCTACATTTGTCCTCCATTAAAAATGAAAATGCAGATGCGTTGTCACCCCTAAGAACTAAGATGGAATGCCACGTTTCCAGTAAAAAGGGTCTCTGGTTCTCTACACTTTCCATACGAAACACAGCAGCCGATCAATTCGTGCAACATCCATAATATAGATACAGCTACCGCGTGAAAATGAATGGTGACTCCAAACCGAATATTGAATATATACACGTAAAAAATATTTTTGTCTTACCCTAGCATTCACATAGCAGTCATTGTTTAGAGCTCATTGAGTAGAGTACATTTAAAAAATTTCTTATTCTTTATTATCTTCAAAAACAAGGAACTGGTTTAAAGATGTTAGTTTTATACCATTTTGGTAACAGGGTAATATCTCAATAAATAAATTAGTTAGGGATTTTATAGTATTTTGTGGTATTATGTTGTATTTAAAAATTGATTCATATAACTATAGTTTGTAAGCTGTGACCGCAACAAGCAAGCATTTTTAAGGGGTTTTCCACGGTTAATACTATGACTAGAACTATGAACCATGATAGAGCGAGGTCCGACTTACATTCGGTCGGTTCTTCCTTGCGTTATTTGCCACAGTTTTGTCTATTTCCCTTTGAACGCTGAATCAACGGGCAGATATAATATGTACGTAAAAACGAAACCTCTTTATTGTAGGTCAATACCAATAAATAACATCATAGTTTCCTGTTTACAAATAAACATATTATTTGTTAATTTTAAGTAACAGAAATCTAACTTATCTTAAACTAAAATTAAAAACTTGAATTAACTACCATACAGCCCTACTTTCTGCGGTACCAACAAAACTGGCTACGTTTCCTCGCTAAATGATTCTTAGCATTTTAGCGAGAAAAGAACGAGCCCACTTATAACTAGCGGCGATGACAAGTCCATCGTTTGAATGGTTGAATACCCTATTAATTATTCTTATTAATCGGATAAATCCAAATAAAAAAATGAGTATTTATTTTGCAAAGATAGAAAAGAAAGCCGTATAACTATTTATTTACGTCAGGCTTAGAAAGCCGCGTCTCCACCAAAGTTTTGTTGCCAACAGAACAGTTGGTAACAAAACTTGAAACAATGTCGGGAACCGTGTAATTCCATTTTTGGCGGCAACATCAAAGGAATACGCTTGTTGCAAACATTTGTTCCCTCGGTGGAGTCGCTTGTTGGAAACAGTTGTAAACAGTTGGAAACATAACTGTTGTTAACATTTTTGGTGGATACGTGGCTTAATATCCAGCGGGATAAGTCAAGTTTAATTTCTAAAATCGTTAATGCTCTTAAAAAAATCTATGAAAACGAATGAGCATGACATTTTAGCTCAACGTTAAGTCTCATTATTATTGTCACGTAGCATAACGTTGATTTTTTTTATAGGATAAGGTGACAAACAAGCACACAGTCCACCTGATGGTAAGTGGTTGCTGTGGCCCATAGACATCTAAATTTATCCTCGTTTGTGAATCAAAATGCAAATGCGTTGTCACCCGTGCGGACTAAGATGGAATGCCCCTTTTCCAGTAAAAAGGGTCTCCGGTTCTCTACACTTACCATACGAAACACATCAGTGTTAAGCTGCTATTTGACGTTGGTATACTGTGAGAGCGTGGTCCTTCCCCGATCGAGCCGACCCATTCGTGCTACAACTATACTACTAATATAGCTGCAGCATGGCTCTACCACGTGTAATTTCATTCATAAAGTCAACTTAGCTAAACCCGCTGACCAACGTTTGGTATTGCGATCTTTTATCTGCCTGCCAAGCGTTAAGAAAACAAGCGTGAAAATTAAAGTAAATTCGTACAACGGGAGAGATCCATGCCCAGCAGTGGACTTTTAAGGACCTATGAAGAAAAAAAGGACAGCAAGGAGATATGCATAATAAATTAGCACAAAACCATGAAAAGGTTTATTAAAAAAGAAGTGAAAACTTACAATTCACCCTATGGTAAGTGGCTACTTTTTTATAGAATAAGGGTGAGAAACGAGCACACCGTCCACCTGATTGTAAACGAAAGATGTGGCCCATAGACATCTACATTTATCCTCAATTAAGAATAAAAATGTGAGTAAGCCCACTACATGGGGTGGGTAAGAATACTCACTACCCCATATCTTCCCGTGGATGTCGTAAAAGGCGACAGAAGGAAACTGAGGCAGATGATGGGCAGCAGCATCATTCTGATAACAGCAAAATAACAATAAAATACTGCAGTTGCCAACCCGCTATTCCTGGCTACGGTGACGACCATGGTAACGGGGGGGTCAGGGGGTGCTAAGAATCTCCGGTGAAGGTTCGGTTGCCACCTACGACGACTCGACCTGGCAACTTATAACGCACGCACCCTGAGGACTGACGAGAAGATCCTGGAGCTGGAAGAAGAGATAGACAAGTTGCGCTGGAATGTCATAGGATTATCCGAAGTCCGAAGAGAGGGGGAGGACACGGTAATCTTCGAATCCGGCAATTTGTTCTATCACGGAGAGGGCGACCAAGGAGGTGTCGGATTTATCGTCCACAAGTTTCTCGTTAACAACGTTGTAAAGATTGGGAGTGTGTCGACGAGGGTTGCGTACCTTATACTGAGAACGACCAAACGATATTCACTGCAGGTCATACAGGTTTACGCACCAACCTCGGCACACCCCGATGAGGAGGTGGAAGAAATGTATGAGGATATCTCTAGAGCCATGCATTCCTCCAAAACCCACTATACGGTGTTAATGGGAGACTTTAACGCAAAACTAGGCACAAGAGAGAACGGTGAACTGAAAGTAGGGAATTTCGGAAAAGGGCAACGGAACCCAAGGGGCCAGCAGCTGACCGACTTCATGGAGAAAGAGGGACTCTTTATGATGAACTCTTTCTTCCAGAAAGGGCCCCACAGGAAGTGGAGGTCCACTTCCTGTGGGGTGGTCGAGCCCCGACGGTTCGACAAAAAATGAGATTGACTTCATTATGACGACCAGACGACAACTGTTCAGTGATATCTCAGTGATCGCGAGGGTGAAAACTGGCAGCGATCACCGAATGGTGAGAGGCATACTGAACCTAAACGTGAAGTTGGAGAGGTCACGTCTAATGAAGTCAACGCTCCGTCCCCCTCGTGCTCTAATCCAAAGTCCCGAAACCTATCAGCTCGAACTACGAAACCGTTTTCAGTGCCTAGAAGATTGCAATGCAGTGGACGACATGAATGACAAGCTCGTGGAAACTGTCCATGAGGTCGGAGCTAAGTTCTGCAAGACCCGCCGCAGCAGAACACAAAAACTCTCCGATAACACTCTTAATGTCATGGCTGTTAGACGGGATATGAAGCTGCGGTCTTCAGTAGATTAGACAGCATACAGGCAACTGAACAGACAGATCTCCACATGCATGCGGCGGGACTTACGCAACTTTAATACTGCTCGTATTGAAGAAGCGATCGAGCGGAACCAGGGCTCAAAAATCTTTGCCAGAGATCTGCCTGCCAGAAAGAGCCAAATGTCGAAGCTGAAGACCGAGTGTGGCAGCGTCGTTTCCGGGACACCTGAGATTTTGAGTGAGATTGAGACGTTCTATGGGCAGCTGTACACATCATCGTTAGAGCCACACGTAAGTGTGAGTAACAATCAAAGAGCGAGTCTTATCCGACACTATTCCGATGATATTCCGGACGACAGTCTGAGCGAGATTAGATATCTCTCCAGCACCTTAAAAACGGCAAGGCCCCAGGCCAGGATGGAATTACAGCGGAACTTCTGAAAGCGGGTGGAAAACCGGTACTTGAAGTCCTTCAGGAGCTCTTTAATTCCGTCCTCCATGGTGGCATTACACCGGAGGCGTGGAGCAGGAGTGCGGAAGAACAAGAGTTCTTCAAGAAAGACGACAACGCTCTCTTGAAGAACTACAGACCGATTTCCCTTCTGAGCCGCGTCCACGTGCTGTTTTCGAGAGTCATTACGAATCGTCTCGCGCGCAGACTTGACGATTTCCAGCCTCCCGAACAAGCTGGTTTCCGAAAAGGCTTTAGC